GCTCCTCTAGTTCTTTACGTTCAGCTTCTTCTTTCGCCTTTCGTTCAGCTTCTTCCTTAGCCTTACGAGCTTTTTCTTCATAATATTTTGTATACTTATCATCAGCCCAATTACCAAGTGATTTGGCACCTGTTAGTATTCCATTTGCGGTTGATGTTGCTGTTCTTCCGAGCCATCCCCCTACCGCTGAAGCACCATTGCCAATAGCACTACCAGCATTTAAAATTCCACGACCAATCCATATCCCTGGTTTTGCCTTTGTATTAAGAGTAAGAAATTCTTCCTTCCTATCTTCAGGTGTAGGATTTGTAACAGTTCTTACAGTATCAACAACAGTGTCAACACTGGTTCCAATAGCACTACCAACAGCTGTTGCACCAGTTAGAATACCATGGGTAACTAAATCAGTAGCTCTTGAGACAACATTATCACTCGAGGCTTTCTCTGCTGGATAGTTTGATCCTTTGTAAGTTCCTGGACCACCTCTATTTGAAGCTTCTCCTTCAACTATTTTCTTCTCTTCTTGTGCTTGTTCTCTGGCAACACTCAATGCACGTTCTTGTCTTTGAATGTTGTCTTTCTTTAACATGTAACCACCAAGTGTCTGTGGTGGTGTGTTTTTATCTAGTGCAGCATCAATTGCAGCCTTTTCTTTTCGCTTTTCTTCGTCTAACCAATTTTGAATAGATTCTGCATCAGTTGGTTCAGCTGGAGTTGGAGACGGTGTTGGAGCTTTAGTTGGTGTTGGAGACGGTGTCGGAGCTTTAGTCGGAGTTGGAGATGGAGTAGGTGCTTTTGTAGGTGTCGGTGATGGAGTTGGAGATGGAGTTGGAGGTACTGTTGGTTCTGGAGTTGGTTCAACAGTCGGTGAAGGTGTTGGCGCCTTTGTGATTCTTGGAGTTGGCTCTGGTGTTCTAATAGGGGAAGCAGTTGGTGTATTAGCTCTTTTAAGAACCTGTGATCTTTCCGCTTGATTTGAATCAGATACTGGGTTAGTTGTACTAGGATGTGATACAGGAGTTATTTTTGGTGTAGGTGTTGGTTTATTTAATGTTATACCATGACTACTCGACATTGGTGGAGGACCTGCGTGAGCAGTTGGTGTCAGAGTTGGCGTTGGAGCTACTGTAGGAGTTGGCGTTGGAGCTACTGTTGGTTCAGGAGTGGGAGTTGGTGTTGGAGCTACTGTAGGAGTAGGTGTAGGAGTTGGTGTTGGAGTCGACATTTGTTTTAACCTCTCATTATACCAATTCTCCAAATAATAAGCCTCACCCATTAAGTTACTCTGTCTTTGTTTTATAGAAAATTCACCTAACAGTAATTCATCATGAATCATTTTCTGCAGCTTTGTCGTGTTTTCTACTTCCTTTATTAGAACGCTCGATGTATTCGCCAATCCTCTATATTCCTTAATCATCTTATCTAGTTTGTTCATATTTGGTACTTCCTTTTTCTTCTCAGCGTTAATCTCATTAGATCGTTTCTCCAATTCTTCAACTACTTTGTAAAGCTTATTTATCTTGACATGTGATTCCTTTACTTCTCCAGTCCTTGGATCCTTAGGTTCCTTGTATTTAGCTAATTTCGTCTCTATATATCTTCGTTTAGCGTCATATCCAGGATCACTGGTTCGTAAAGGATGCGAAGGTGGACGAAAATAAGGTATGTAGAAATCTGGATCATCATTAATAGAAGAACGTGCTTTAAAGTTACGAACCGCGTCTGTAAAAGGGTCTCTACCACGTGCTGTATATGTTGATGTAATCAAAAAGCCTTCTCTTCTCATTGGGAAATTAATACGACCTTTTTGAACATATTCTTTCTCAAAGTATTGCCTAGCATTGTAATCAAAAGCAAGATCATTATATATATCGCGCAAAAAATCAAATGTATGCTGCTTGAACTTTTGATCGCTAATTATGGTACGAATTATCGGACGTTCATTCTCCCATTTCTTAACTCGTTCATCAATGAGTTTCCTCTCTTGTTCACTCATTTAAACCTCATAAAAATATATTATCTGCGTATAGTGCCACTAATAGCATTAATCCATGGCATGTCTGATAGTACACGTACTGACTGAACTAATGGCTTATGATTGTTCCAAATAGCTCCTCCAATGTATGCGTTATACTTATTGTTGTCAATAGTTTGTTGAGGTTGAACTATAGGTGTTTCAACAGGCTTGTCTCTACTGAAGTCACCACCAAGAGCTTTATTGAATGCTTTAAGATTCTTCGTTAATGCATTATCTTCACCTAATGTAGTTTTTGCAATTCTTTCACCAAGACTACCGATAACACCACCGACTTGACCAACTTGAGGGAAAAGTTTGTTAGCAATGTTAAATCCAGCACCTATTACAAGACCAGGATTTTTTTTCACCATACCCCATCCAGCTTTAACATAATCGCCAAAACCCATTTATTTCTTCTTAAAATAATGTCATCTTTTGTTGCTTAACTTCTTTAAAGTCCGTCTTTCCTGCAACTATATGAACTTCCATATATGAACGAGGTGTTGGTAGCTCTTTGTATTTGTTCCATAACTCTTCCCAATCTTCTGTTGCTCCTGACTGTTCAATCATTGACTGAAAGTCTCTCATAGAATAACCTTGAAAGATAACGAAGTCAGTGCATAGTCTCTTAATGTTTAAACATATATGTCTCCATGTTTGACACATGATGACAACAGTATAGTTATAATGTCTGACCTTAGTGATGAAGTTCGCTAATGGTGAACGTGGGTCATTCAATAAGTCATGACCACCATAATCGTCTAACACTAATAGAGAATTACTGGGATACTTTGTGAAAGGATATTTGTTCAACTTCTTTACAACATATATTGCAATCTTCTTATACTCAAACTTTCCATCAGGTTTCCTTAGTTGATGCTTTGTTAAGATGTGTTCCATCTCCTCTGAAATTTTTTCGAACTTACTTTGAACGAACTCAACAATAGCGTAATACTTTGCTTTCATCTTAACGTTCTTCATTAAATAAGGCATAAGTTCTTTATCATCCTTTTTCAGTACTGGTGCTTTAACTTGACTCATAAATGTCTTCGCTGTTTTATCCATTGTTCCTGATGTTGCTGAGATAACTATTGAGTCATAATATGGAGTATTAGTGAAGCGGTCTGTTATCATTATATGACGAATAACACCATATGTCTTACCTGAACCCATCTTACCGCAGTAGAAATAAACACCATTAGTACAAAATGGATAATCATCAGAAAATGGCATAATGAGTGCATTGTTTAGTTCTTTACTATTCTTACGTGCTCCATCATGAAGAATCTTATCTACTTGATTAATAACTTTCTCCATCTTTTAGTTACATATAAAATGTCTAAATATGATGGATTATACTATGAACATGTTATGAATGATGGCACGATAAGTGGTAATACAGTCTCATATAAATTACCGAGAGACTTCATTGAATATCCTGCGTCAAAAGCTCTTGAGATAAGAAAGATAAGTCTTGAGCATCCAGACTTTGAGTTTCTTGCTATTCCATTAGAAATGACAGATTCATCAAAATCAGTGAAAAAAAGGTTTGACATGAGATATTACATAAAACCCAACATGACTACACAGGAGTTGAATGAAGGTCTTATGGAAAAAATGACTGAGGCAAGTAGAGAATTTGTTGATTGTTACTATGATTCAAATGAAAATAAATTGAATGTATTAAGAAAAGGTACATCACCAATCATAACATTACCTTCATACAGTAGTATAGAAAAAAATGCCTTGAATTATAAATATGACATGTCCCTAGGAGATGTGTTGGATTTCATCACTGCGTTATTAGAAACCACTGAAACAGACACAACATCAAGAAAACCAGAGCTTGTTTGGGAAGATGACCATGGTAGAACATTCACGCAAAAAGTAATTCCATCGAAAGCAAAATTTTTAGACTTATGGGAAAAAAAATATATCTCGCGAATGCATGTATATTATAGTTTTACCATAGCAGATTTCACTGACGAAAATGATAAAGATAAAAAAACATATAAGTACTTTGATGAGCTTTTCATAACTATAGCGAATATCAGGTTTATCCTTGAGCGAAAGGGCAAACCAACATATAAATTTGTCGGTTATCAGATAAGAATAAATCCTCTCCTTGAGCCTTTAGTAACGTTGAGTAATATTGCTCATGATAACAAACAATTTATATGTAATGTGAATGAACAGCTTGTGCCACCAAAATTTTACGATATCACTGGTTATAAAGATGCACTCGTGTTTGAGTTTTATAAGCGCTTTTCATTCAAAAGAGTTGAAGAATCAACTGATGGTCAAAAAAAGGAATATTATGTAAAAGAACCATATGAAATTCCTAAAGACTCTAATATAATGGTTGAACTTATATTAGAGTCTGGTACTCAATCTCAACATAAATAGTTTACGTGACAGAATTTTTTTGACACGTAAAGTTTACATTTTAATGGAAGCGAACAACAAAGCTCCTGCTAGTGAATAAAGGTTAGTTTACATATGAACGTTTATTTTTACACATATATGCGTACATATGCGCGCCCGTATGGTGTCAGTTTTCTGTCACTTTTTTCATTGTGTCGGTGACTGTAGCTGTAGGCTACAGGCGACGCACAATGTATACTGTACTAAAAACATCAACTAAAAGATTTCCAATTCAAGAAATGATATTTCCAAATTTGTCATATACATTTCTTATGGCATCATTCAATATATTTTTGTTTAATGGTCACATTCTCTTTATTGCTAAATATCACTGATTTTTTTTTAATTTTATCAATAAGGTGCCCATCCAAATTCATACATGATCCCTATTACTCATATGTAGTAAAACAATGCTCATCCGAATGTAACAGACCCGAGAAATAATTTTCAAAATCTAAGGTTTGCTTTTTCTATACAAACTTTTTAAGTCGCTAAATTGTTATGATGCAGTATAATAATAGCATTCATTTTTCTAATAAAAAATTTATTCAAAATTCATATGGATAATTGGGGAGCAAAACCCGAGAAAAAAATTAAAAGAGGAGGAAATAAGAAAACTATTAGAGTTCGTGGCAAGAAGGCCGACTACATACTAGTCACTGAAGCTGAAATTCGAAAAGAAAATTTAAAAGACATTAAAAAATTTCTTAATGTTTACTATGCATCGATAAAAAACGACCCTGATCCAAATAAAAAACTCGTTGCTACCAAAATTAATAGAAATAACGTTCCAATTGAAATTCAACAGCAATTTATAACCGAAATCGAAGTTTGCAAGACTCTAAATCATAGTGGAGTTAATAAACCATACGATTATGCCATTGACAATAACTTAGGCGGGCTTTTCATAATTTATGAATCTCCAATCATGGATTTTCTTGAAAACTATATCACAACGTACACAACATCACCAATTACTGATTGCCATATGATCAAAATACTTATTGGTATCGCTTCTGCTGTTGCATATTTACATTCAAACGGATACGTCTGCGGAGACTTAAGGCTGGGCACTGTCTTTCTCAAATCGAAATTAGAACCAGTTATTATCAACTACAATCTCCCAGAACTCTATCCATGTCCTATTATTCCATATGAAACCAAAAAATCAGAGTATTCAGCCCCAGAACTTGAAAACAACTATGTAATAACACCAAAATCAGATGCATACTCGTTCGGTGTCATTTTATCTAAAATTTCTCAAAAATTAAATAATATCAAAGGAAAATTCTACCAAACAATGAAACAATTGTTTGAAATGTGTACAGACTTTGATCCATCAAAGCGACCATCATTTACTCTCATCGAGAAGATGCTTGTTGAAGGAGTTGAAGACATTCCTTATGTTCCAAGCCCATTTCAATCTTACATCACAGATATCATCAAAAGCAACCCGAATGGATCAATCTCACCACATACTCCTCATGAATTCAGTGCTTTTGCTGATCAAATCATGACTTCTGTTGACAAATACATTTCTCCACTGAAAGATATTCTTCCGACCAAAATTATTACTAAGGCAAGACGTAATATCCATCTCAGATGTCTTTTGATAAGTTTAATTGCGAGAAATACAGAAATGGTTTCAAATTGGATATTAACTAATTACAAACGCAATAAAATGCAAGATATCCAAGAAATTATGGATGCTGTAATGCAAACAACTATCATTTGCTATCAAAAAGTTGATATTTACGCAAAATTGACAAAAAATCTTTTCAAATTATCCCTATATTCAAATAAACTAGGATTTATACCAACATTTGTACTCCATAAGATCTATGCAACATTCGTTATGCACGATCCTTATCCAAATTACATGCCTTACGTTGCATATTTGAGTGGTCTCTACAAACGAAAGGTTTTCAACATTTTCGAGATCATCCAGATGATCGAAGATTTATTTGAAGGTGCTCCGACTCCGATTTTTGCGATTCCTCTCTACATTTGGTTCCATAAAGATATCGACCGAAATTCTCCGGGAACTTCACAAAAAATGAATGATTTAATCACCAAATCCGATGTCAGACAGGTGTTTAAATCATTCATTTCCGGTGAAAGTGAAGTTTCCAAGCTTTCCACGATAATTATGGCGGATGACATGACACAATTCAAGAACTACATATTGGATCACCCAGAAGAGTTCTCATCCGTCATCAATCCAACTGTTTTCGAGGTCTGCCCCTATGCACAAGACAACATTACCGTTCCAGAATATGTTTTGTTGTATAATGCGCAGAAAATTTACACTTTTCTGAGGAATACGACAAAAGTATATGACGGCGATGACACAAAGATGATGCAGATGGCTATCATTGGTAACCATACGCTTTATCTCGAACAACATGAGTTAAATACGAGATCCGAAAACGTTGTTGAAGCTTCAGTTCAATTTCACAATTACGCAGCATTGATTCAAGGTTACAACAGAGGAATCAAGCTTCGTAACGCTGAAAACCTCTTCTCCGCTGTGCAATTTACAAATTTAATTGCATTGTTGTTCATTTTATCAGCAAATTCAGTTCCTCCTGCCAAGAAACATATTTCTTCCCAAGAAAAAGAAGAAACAAAACCAAAATCAACCGAAAATCCAAATCCAAATCCTTCTCAAAATTCCGAGCCTCAAAAAGTTTCTTCTCAAAATTCTGGACCCTCTCAAAATTCAGTTCCTTCTCAAAATTCAGGACCTTCTCAAATTTCTGAACCACCAAAAACGACGAGACCAACTCCACAAAGTCCTCAGAGACCAAATGCACAGAGGCCAAATCCACCAAACACGCAACCTTCTTCTCCACAACAAAATTCTCAAATTCCGAAAACAAATGAAAATCAACCACAAAAAGTGACACAAAATTCTACGGAAAAAACTTCAGAAGAGAAGAAGAAAGAGGAAGAAGAGATCAACATGAGGATTATCACCATCAACAAAGAAGCTGCCAGACAAGCAACAGAGATCAGAGATCATTTTGGAGAAACAATTTTCCAAGCCGCAGTGAAAACAGGAGATTTCTTGTTTTTGAGACTTTTGCTTTCAATTCCAAATGTTAAACCATTTGCAACTGATTCATGGGGACAGAATGCAATTCACTGGGCATGTCGTCTTGGCTGCGATTCCCCTAACCTCTGGGAAGAAAGCGCTGTAAGATATCCTTGGTGGTTTGGTTCCGATGAATCATTGATAACTGGCGAAAATTTGGTAAATTTGGTTGATTTGTTCAGGAAATATCAGAATCCTGGATCATTCGCAGCTAAACTACTTTCCACACAAGAGAACATCGAACCATACAGTTCATTCAAAGAAAACGAAAGAATGTTGAATGAATTGGCAATTGCAAGTTCAAATCTTGAAATTTGGAAAGCATCAAAACTCACTTTTGAACGAAGATTTGGTTCTCCTCATTGTCTTAAACTCCTTTTAAAGTTCTCAACAAAACACATAAATGATGTTGATGAACAAGGAATGACTGCTTTACATTATGCAGCAATGAATGGAGGAGCAACAGTTGTTAAGATGCTGACAAATGTTTTCGGCGTTGACGTGAATGTTCAAGACAGAAAAGGAAGAACACCACTCCACATTGCAGCAAGAAACAACGACGCTTTGTGTTACGCAATTATTTTGTCTTGCGGAAAAGTAAGACCTGAAATCGTTGACAACAAAAACAGAACAGCGTATGAAGTTGCTGTGAGAAAGAACTCACAAGATGTACTTGATGTCGCTGAGAAAATGGCGGAAAAGCAATGTAGAATTGCTTAGAATTTTTTTTATTAATTATTTTTTTTTAAATAAATTACCATGTATATTAGTTTGATCTATCAAAAATAATCAATAAATTTTTAAAGTTGAAATAGGATGATACCAGCTATTTTATCAAAATATCCTATAATATTGATATTTGGAATGTTTTGAAACATCAAATGTGCCTTCACTCCGAGGTGTTACCCCCTACATTTACTTTCGGTGAAAATTCGGTGATAACTTGGTACATTTATTGAGCTCGCATAGACATTTAGAGAATAATTGATATTGATGATGTATTGTACAGGACATGATGTATAAATTTATTAAGATTATTTAATTAAACATTGTCGTCTACTTTTGATATATTGGATATTTCTAACATGCTTATAGATTTTTGGTTTTCTAGTCAGAGTTCCTCATGCAAATGGATTTTACATTAGAAATATGATTGCATTTCAATTTTTGATTTTCATTCATCTCATATCTCGACTTTGGCCCTGGGGTTTCCATATTATATATTCTTATTAGTAGAAGGACCCTCAACTTATGATATGTAATATAAAATTTCGAATAATTATGCTTAAATCAAATAAAAGTAAATGACGAATGTATATATTATCGAGGAAGCAAAAATTATGAGTTCAGTTGAATGACAAAATGCTTATTTTCAAAGTCAAAAATTGTCAGGAGAAATAAGAAAGAAAATATACACTTTGAAATAAAAGGATTGCTATGTGAATATATAGTCATGGTAAATAAAGCATATAATAATACGTATAATGAAGTTTTAACGGGTCTTGATTTGAATTGGATTTTTTAAAGTCAATAGTAGGTATTTTAAATGAAGAATGTTTGGAAAATAATTTGATTCTTTCGATAGATATTTTGATCAGGCAAATACACAAAACAATCATCACTCAAGGGATCATTTGAGAAAAATAACGATAAAAAATTGACGTTATTAGTTGACAAGATTTTTGAAATGAAAGTAGAATGAATTAAAGCATCTCTGAGTCCGTATTCAGAAAAATATAACGTTTTTAATATTATTTTTGGTTAAATCGATTTTCTACCAAAAATGAATTCGATATTTTTAGTATGCTGAGAAGTTTAAAGAAAAATCTAATAGGCCTTAGCAGATTTAAATACAACTTTGTATAAATCTTAGCTCCTTATTGTTACACGGCAGGTAGCAATTTAAATTTATTGAATTTTAGAAAAAATCGGACCGTTTTTTTGGTAATGTAGTATGCGTAATGAATATTCATCACAACCACATTTCAGTATTCAAATTTATCTATGGCATATTATTCGGCCGAATTTGAATAATTTTTTTATGGAATGATAAAGGGAAATTATCGTTAAAAAATGATAGTATTTAAACACACAGTATGAATTTATCTGATTCGATGATTTTCGTAAATGACTTCACAATTGCGGCTCTCGGCGGTTTCTAAATGACAGCCGTCCGCTATAAAGATATCTTTACAGGACATGTCTTTCTAGACGAACACTATCCATTCCAGGAGGACGCCGAAAAGGGTGTATATGTTGTTCGCGGTAAATTTAAAGCTATATTCCATGAAGATCTTCCCCCAGATAATCCAAATAGTGTAGAGGTTGCAATTAATCTCGTTCGCGATTTCAAACTTGTAGAACTTAACTGGACAAAAGATAAACTTATATTGTGGGCTAAGGACTACGTACAGATGATTAAACAACAACATCAGATGAATACAATCGAACAGAGTAATCCTTTCGTCTTATCATTTGCCCATCTTGTTCGCTGGGTCTCTGCTAAGTTCAGAGATTTCCACTTCTATAAGCCACCGGGTGAGCAAACTCAGACTGTTATCTTCTGCTCATTCTTAGAAGATCAGATCACACCTGTCTTCTGGTATCCAAAGTGGTCTGTTGAACGTGAAGAGTAAATACATTTTCAAAACAGTTTCATTAACATAATTTCGGTTTTTCTTATCCCGATAAATTTCACGAGAAAAAAAAATATTTTCTTTTGACTTGAATAAACAAACATATTTACAATGAGTTTAATATTGATCTTGCTGTATCTGATGCAGCAAATCATTTTTCTCATTTTCGATAAATGCTTCAACAGACTTCACATCTGGCCTTTTCATTTCATTTGTCTGGGCCGCGTTCTTCCTTGAAGCAATCTTCTTCAATGGAACAGGAGCTGCCTTCGGTTTAACTTTTGGAGTGATGACAACAGCTCTTGCAGACGATGCTTGGCCTTCTCCGACATCATCGGTGTTCCAGAGAAGTTCATATGACTCTTTCAGTGAGTTCATCGTACGAGCTGAGATCTGATTTAATTTCGCAATATCTCTAACGAGTTGGGACTGTTGTTTCTTCATTCTTGAGACCTCTTCTTGCTGTGCAGTAAGCCTTTCTTCAAGTTGCCTTGATTCCATTTGAAGATTTTCGTTTCTGGAGTGTTCTGATGTTAATTCTGCTTGGAGTTGGGCAATTTCAGACTCTACTTTGTCTGCAGAGTCATTAAACCTTTTGAGAAGTTGGTCTATTGGTAATTGCTCTGCATTTTCATATATATCATGTAATAATTTCTCCATGTAAGGTTTATATCGATCAAGAGCTGTTCTTTCGCAATGAGAAAGAGCATCACGAGTTGCTTGTCTGAAACTTTCGATCTTATCAAGGATTTGCTTATTCAGTTTCGAAAGTTCTTCCATAACTGGTAAAATTGAAGGAGTATTTGAACGTAGAATATTAGGTCTTGTAGGAACAAGTGTACGAGCAAGTTCATCTCTAAGATCTGCAAGCTCTTTTTGGAGCCGATCTTTTGTTGATACGCTATCAATAATTAATTGATTATATTCTTTTTGCATTTCTTGATATTGCGTCTGTAATTCTTTCTTTCGTTCTCTGAGTTGCTCATTTTTAGCTTTGAGGTTTTTAATTTCTTCGTTAATTTGATCTTGTGATAAATTTTGAACGGGTGGAGGTATAAAATGGCCTTGTCTTGATGGCGAACTTCTTACTTTTTGCTCATTTTTAGGTATTTGTTGCTTTTGAAGTTCGGCTTCCTTTTCTTTAAGTAAATTTATTGATGGACGTTGCTGTGATTCTGTAGATTCTGCAGAAAAAATTCTGCGACCAAGTGCAAGAAGGTCATCTTTGTTGGATGCATCTGTTAAATACTCAGAATACTTCTCAAGAAGTGCAGAAAAAGTGGAATCTTGAAACATTGTAATTTTTTATCAGGTTCAAAATTGAAAAACGTACATTGTATTATTTCAAATACCAATTATTTTATTCTCGTGGTCATTAATACAACACAACTGCTTTATATCAGAAACATTATCAATTAATTAACGGCAATACATATCAATTAATTCGATTATTTGAAATCAGCTCAATATATTAAGTAGCTAGCTAATATTTTTTGTCACTTGAGTACTATTTGTTAAAGAAACATAGTTAAAAGCAGTTCTAACATCTATTATCTGTTTTTTTTTTGTATTCAGTAAACCCATTTTCCTACGTAAAGTCTCCCTATCGTTTTTCTGCCTCAATATTGAGTGAATTTCTATCAAAAATTTGAATAAGAGACTTTACAAAAGAAAAGGAGTTTATTTGTCTTAATATCAATGTTGATATTAGAGTTAATAACAGTTTGTATGTTGTCAAATGATTTTAAAAATTGTATTTAAGTAGTTTTATTATAAAATGTCGCTTTTATTATTAATTAAATAATTATTTTGCTAAAATATAACCTATTTCAAAGGAATCATTTTTAATTCAATTCTAGCGCATGATCTTGACAGTTATTCCGACCATTGCCATTTATTCTGGAATATGCTCCATGTGAAATTAATGTTTTAACTAATGCATGATGTTTCAACATTTTGCAATATTGAAGAGGAGTTTTACCATTATTATCTCTTGCATTTACATCTGCACCATATGAAATAGCTAATTTTGCCATTGAATCATCATCATCATATAATACTGCATGATGGAGAACTGTTCGTCCTTTAGGATCCTTCGAGTTTATATCTTCACCATATTTTAAAAGTAAACTTACAAAATCTTTAAAACCACGCATTGAAGCATAGAGGAGAGGAGACATTCCACTCTTCGAATATGTCCTAACATTTACCCCTTTTTTAATAAAAAATTCTCCTGTTTCTACACTATCGCATTTAGCAGCTTCATGAAGAACAGTCTCTTCATATATATTTTTTGCATTGATGTCTGCCCCATATTTAATAAGGAGTTCGACCATTTCTATACTATGTCGTCTTGCTGAAAAATGAATAGCAGAATACCCTTCTTGAGTTTTTGAATTGATATCCGCACCAGATTTAATAAGGAGCTCTGCTGTTTCTGTACTACTATTATTTGCGGCATAACAAATAGCATTTCTTCCATATTCTTCTTTTGCATTGATATCTACTCCTGACTTGATAAGGAGTTCTGCTGTATCTTTACTATTATATTCTGCAGCAATATGAAGAGCTGTTTCTTTATTTTTATTTGTAACATTGATATCTGCACCAAATTTAATAAGAATTTCTGCAGTTTCTTTACTATTATGCTCTGCGGCAACATGCAGAGCAGTGAAACCATATTTATCTTTTGCATTGATTTCTGCGCCAGATTTAATAAGGATCTCTGCACTTTCTATACTATTATGTTCTGCAGCTACATGAAGAGCAGTGATACCATCTTTATACATCGTATTGATATCGGTATAATGTTTAATAAGAAATTCTAATACTTCTTGATTATTGTATTTTGCAGCAATATGAATTAAAGATTTTTCGTCATTGCTTTTTGAATTTATATCAGCCCCAATCGATATAAGTATGTATGCGATCTTATTCATTCTTCTTTCTAATGCAAAATATAGAATAGACTTTCCATTTCCATCTTTTGCATTGATATCAGCACCTTCAGAAATAAGAAATTCCGATGATTCTTCGAAGTAATTATTTAATGCATAATGGAGAGGAGTTAACAAATTGTTGTCTTTCGCATTGATTTTTCCCATGAAAAAGTCTCGTTTCGATGATAAAAACTCTAGGATATCAATGCAATTTGATTGAGCAGCAAAATGAAGAAGATTTCGGCCATCTCGATATTGCTTATTGTAATCGATTTCATTGTCTTTGGATTTCAAAATATCAATTGACTGAGGAATAGAAGCACACCATGGGATAATCGAATTGACATCTTTGTTAGCTAGAATTTGAATAAATTTCAAATTTTGTGAAACAATTACATTTGTAAAATCAAACGTGCTAAGATCAATTGACTCGTACCGTATAAGGTCTTCAATGAAGTCATTGTTATGTGATTCAATTGCATATTCAAGGCAAACATTGTCTGGATCTTTGTGTTTCAGACATTCTTTAATGATGTCAGTGTTATTTCCGATGAATGAATATTGAGGTGTATTTTGAGTTATTTCATGTTTAAAATTACTGAGAAGATAAAAGAATATATTTGAAGAACCATAAAATGCACTCAAATCCAAAATTCTACTGATTCCAAAGTGTGGAGTTAAAAATAATTTATTTATATCATTCAAATCATGAGATATTGAATAATATATAATTTTTTCGAGTTGATCGAACATAGTATAATAATGTAATGATTCTTCTAATGGAAATAGAGTGCAACAACAAATAATTTTAGTAGCATTATCATCAAGTATTAATTTATCAGAGTTCCATATATCAGGAAAAAGAAGGTCAATTAATGATTTCTCGATTGAATGCATCATGCAAAATTGGTTGAAAATTTTGATGTATAGATTGATAGATCGATAGTTGTATTTGATTGCATGAATTATGCTAACAATGATCTGACTAAATGGTACTTTGAAATTTTTAACTAAAACTGTGTTGATCATTTCAAGAATTTCTTCAAGAGAATCGCTTGGACTTATGTGGTAAAGCTTGTAATATGCTTTCATGAATTCTTCATTCTGTCCAATGACATTATCACTCATTTGAGATGAAAACACTAAAAAAATTATTGAAAACATTAACCAAAAAGTTGAAAATTGAAGGAAAACAATAGAAATACAATTGTTTTTCTAGATTAATTTATCTTGAACATGTATCACAATTGCAGAGAGTGAATTGAGATAATTTAATGAGCTATTTAATGGACAAATAGACTTTCATAATGAAAAAATGACAAAAATAAGAAATAACAGTTTGTAAAGATAATTATCTTGTGCACAAATGAAAGCTATACAAGTTTCTATTGGAAAAAAAGTTGTAATTATGAAAACGATAAATCCCCAGAATTTCCATTTAAATTTTAAGTGTACTCTATATCTATATCTTTTATGGGGAGTAAAGCAGTCAGAAGAGGATAGTTATTCTAAGTTTAATGAATAATTACAACAATGAAAAGAGAATGATGGTAAAGAAAAATTGAATGGAGCAAAACGGTTTTTAATTTGGCTCATAATATGAAAGTCATGAGTCAGATTGTGAGTGGAGCAAAATTTTTCTTGCAAATTTTGTAACGCTTACTATTTGATCTCATAACTTCTTAATTATGCAAAAAATGATAATATAAAAGAAAAGACAGAGTACCATATTTTGCATGGAACAGAAAACAAAATAAAAGATTGACAAGGCAAAACACCTCTCCATCATGCAATGTTTAATGATAGTAAAGAAACAGGATAGATCCTTATATCGCATTGAGCAGATATATCTATAAAAGATAATATAAATTTCTCAAGAATTATTTAATAATTTTTGATAAACAAAACAAATATATTTACTATAGAGCGCAACTATGACTAATTATCTGATCTCTCCGTTAGAGAGCTGACGTTCGAAAATTTGGTAATCTGAATTCGAGAAAATCAGTTTCCAATGATTTCCATCATCATTTTCATGCCTCATCTGATCACTTCTAAACGTTTTAAGCTCGAGAGAGTGAGTAACAAAAGGCAAAACATTGGAATCAGGTTTTTCAATGAGTTGGCTAATTTCCTTTGAGTATTTCTTCCAGTTGTAGCCACAGATATACATGTACATATCATTCATACGAAGAACTCTGTATCCACAGTAAATTAAAAGTAAATTTACGTCATCTTGCGGAATTAGAAACACAGAGTCAGAAGAAATGTTTGATTTAACAAAATTAACAACTTCTTCAACAGCATTGTTGTAAATTTGGTTTTTTGCTCTCATACTCTTTCGAATTCCAAGAATTGAGGATGTAACCATTGACAAATAGAATAAAATGGCAATGGCAAGGATAATACCTTTAGTCTCCTCGTTCTTGACCTTTTTGACCATTCTGTTCAACATTTTTGTGACAAATATCGAAGAAATTAAAGCCCAAGTTGGCATAAAGTACAAAGTTGTATGAACAGGATGGTCTGAGAACTTCATGAAGTTTCCAATCAACCATGTGATAGTAGAAGCGGCCAAAATCAATTTTTCAAAGAAATTCGCTGGAATCCAAACAAAAAATGCGGCGAAAAGGGCAAAAAGACCAACATTAAGACCCCACATGGCAATGAATGGATAAAAGTAACCTTCATTGATGAAATTTTCCCATAATTTTTCGAATTTCATTAATTTTTCATCATTTTCTCTTGGAATTAAGTTCATTAAAGGAATTAGAGCAATAGAAAAGAACGAAATGACAAAGAATATGATGGATCTGATATTATCAATCCGAATTCTCGATTTCGGGATAAGATTTGAAATAATATAAAAAATTGAGAATAAAAATACTGAAATGAAGGCAGGAAACTGCAAAGGTAGCAATAATCCAAGTAGTATACCCAAAGTTATCAATATCTTCTCATGAAACATCAAATTAAAAAGTAATATTAATATTGTTGCAGAAATCGGAATAACAAACTGCGAAGCTCTGTATTCCATGAGGTAGTGCATAACAGGATGGAACCACGCGCTATGCCCGTTATGCGCCATGTAGAAAACGTAATCAGCGTAGTAAACAGACCTCGAATTAAACCAAAACCAAGTAACCCAGCCATTCCCACTGACATTGAAGAAAAGGAAGGTGGAAAGTAGGGAGAGGAAGGTTGACTTGAGTAGTAGATTCGATAGAGTGTAGACAGAAAACATGGCTTCAGTAATTACGATGATTGATGGAATTATTAAGGAATTTTTAAGTGAAAATCCACCTAATAAGAGCATGGATGAGTGGAATGATGATAGATAACTGTTTCTTTGATGGCTGCTGGCGTAAATAGGGTTTTGCAAGTTAATTAAATTTGGTCTTTTCTTATTTATGCCGTAAACAAATGAATTTATGAGAGATATTTCAATTTGAAGTCCTCTTACTACAAACTGTGTGTTAGTATTCGTATAATTTTGCTGCTTTTATGCAAAACAGCAATGAAAACGTACATTACAAAGATAATTCTTGCCTGGATAGTAGGAAATATAAACAATGAATGTAGAAGTGCATAAAAACGCTATAAAAATAGCAATTGTCGTGTAACTAATCTGATAAATTTGTTTAATAATTGAAATTTTTCGTCTGTTCATTAAAATAAATGAAATAGCACCTATAATAGCCAAATGAATGATCAAATGTAGAAGATTTATGCCTAAAACTATCGAGAAAATGAAAAATATAAATGAAGAAAGTAAAAAACCAAGAGGACCGGCTAAAATAGTGCTTAAAGTCAGTCCATAATGGTCATGAAGTAAAAATGATGCAACTTCAAATCCGAACCACATTTGTGTTGGAACACAAATGCTCGAAATCATTGCATCAAATTTATGAACATAACAATATCTAAGAATATAACTTAAAACGAACACTTAGTACTCATAATTACAATATTCATACAGATTATTATCTCTTGGATCAAATAATTTTTCAATTCTAATTTTCGATACATTAAATAGGTTAATTTCTATTAAAATGCAACATTTATTACAATAGTATAACATACACAACATAAAAAAACGCCTAGTTCATATCCAATTCAACATCTGATTCAGAATCTTCTTGAATCCAAACTAATTCGATTTTCTTTTCAACTTTTGGATCATATAAGTAGCTGAAACCGAACACAGCAGCTAATAAACAAAAAGCTGCAAAGAAATAACAAGCATATCCAAGTCCCATTTTCTCTTTCGTCAAAGGGAACAGGAAACTAACAAAATAAGATCCCAGTTGGTTTGCGCTTGCAACACTTGATGCTGCAAATATTCTATCCTGTATTGCGAACATTTCTGGTGCAATGAACCAAGGTAAAGGACCTAAAGCAATACCAAAGAAGAAGAGATACATTGCAACATATAAAATAGGCAACCAACCTGTCATTGCATATTTTAATGTTGAAGAATAGAGATAAAGGATGATACCGCACCCAAGAGAAGAACCACAGAAGAGAGCCATTCTTCCAAGTCTATCAATGATGAATCCGCAAATGATAACACCAACTAACTGAATAAACATTGTTAAAACATTGGCGTTTTCTGGCTTAAAATTAATTCCTGCGTTTTCTAAGTCATCTGATAAGTTTGTTAATATAGCACTGATGCCACTGAATTGTTGAAGAATCATAACTGTAATACAAATGACAAGATTGGATACATTGGTATCTGTCCAAAATGATTCTTGTTTTTCGCTTCTTCTTGTTGATGTTTCTGGTATTAACCAGATTAAACCGGCTGCAATTATTGAAACTCCTGCAGTAATAAAACAAAGAATTTGCCATTTGCAAAACATGCCTAAGAATTCCATCAATACAATTCCTATGACAATACCAACTTGATGAAGATTACCAAAGAATCCTGTGTAGTTCAGAGAAGCGACATCAATGAGTAAAGTTGGGCATATGACACTGAATCCGCCATTCTCTACACCAACAATGCCTCTAAGAAGTATTGCAAGCCAAAATTGATTCTCTTTTACGAAAATAAACAATAAATATGTAATAACGGCTGCAATGCAAAAGATTGAATAACATAAACGTCTTCCTATATATCTACATAGTAAAACTGGTAGGAATGGACTGAATATACCTACAATTGTCGTAATATTTGAAAACAAATTCAATGATTTTTCTGAAACTTTCCAATTTGCTTGAAAATATTCGGAAATTGGTGTTGAAAAACCCATTGATATACCGAGGAGTGTTGAACCAAGTAAAACAATCAAGCCATGATAGATTTCCTTGGCGGCAACCATAATTTAATGGTAAATGAGTATTTGTGAAGTACTCAAATCTTGAAATATTATTTTTGAATATTTCATTAGAACATACTAAATATTGCTTTACACTTTTTATTAAATTGTTTTAATTTGAGTATTCCATTCAAATTTTGTCAGAAAGGCGCCTTTTCATTCAAACTTTTCGATTTGAATATGATTCAATTTTATTACGCATGATAATAATATTACACATATAATTCTTATTTTAAATTCAAAGTTTTGGACGATCGTTAGCAATTTCTCTCTGAAAATTCGGTAGAATAAAAAAAGTGATACCAAAAATTAAAAATATCAAAATATACGAGTTGTGATTGCATATAGCACATATTCAAAAGAATTCTGCGATCTATTTCAAGATGAAAAATTCAAATTTTTCATTTGACAACAATGCATTTATTCTTTGAAATATGCATATAGACTATGTACCTATTATACTTTTGGTAGTTATCTCAAAGGTACATTCACTATTTTTGACAAAATTTTAAATTTTCATGGGGTTGTAAATCTTATAATAACTAGATGAATAAGGAATGAATCCCAGTATAATGTGCATCATTATATTAAACACTATATGTAAGGCTAATGATTCTATTAACACTTATGAAGATCTATAGTATTTGAGCAGATAAATTTGATAATTTCCAAAACTCTTATATTTCAAAATTAAAGTGTGCGAATGCATTTAAATGAGAGCAAAAAGAGATTGATGCTGTTAAAACTAGGTGTTAATTTGCAATTATTTCGCATCACAAGAACTACCCAGTAAATTCGGCTATCTTTCTTTGCAATTATTCTCCATTATACATATAATATAATGGTTAGGGTTTGAAGAAAAGTTACTAGAGAATTATTGACTTTTGAAATAATGCAGAATTTTACTTGAAGAAATCATTAATTTATGAGTTCCAAATTGCTAAGCATGACGAAGGATCATTAAATTTGCTACAATTAAATACACTTATTGCAGAATTAAGATTTTTGAAATTAAAAGTTTGAAATATTGCCTTTTTGAATAAAAATTTAAATTTTATTATATAATCATGATAATATCTTATAGAAATTAAAAGAAAATATTTTAAACCATTCAAATATTTTGAATGTCTTATCAATTTAAAATATTAAAAGATAGCTTGATTTTATCATCATTAGTTGTTATCAAAGTTTTCTTCTTTTGATGAACAACAGTAAATGATTTGTTAATTACTTGTCTTCCTTTTTCGCAGCAAAATCGAAAGTTATGATGATAATCTTGCTGTCAATTTTGAAACTCTCTGATTTACAAGTAAGCATTCCTTTGGAAAAGCAGTCCTATTCTGTTTTCAAGATATTTTAAAGCCTCCATTTCATACAATGCGCAGATCTATTCGAAATTGCAAGAACTCTCAAGAAAAATGCAGCAGCAAAGAAGATTCCATAGTTTCTAGCATCAAAAATTTACAACCTTAATACAACAGTTAAAGAGAAGCTCGAAAAGAAAATATTTAACCATAAAGCTGGAAACCATTCGATATCTACTATTGGATCTAATAAAAAGTTAATTATAACATATTTAACATGCTATTTGTTGACTTTGTTCCATTATATTACCATATATATCTTTTTGAAATCTAAAACATTTTTACGATTTTAACCATGTGTTGTTGAAACCATATATCAATCTTAGCTAAAGTATAGTTTATGAGTTTGTCACCATCTAACGTATGAATTTTCAAAAATGTCAAATATGTTCATTTTTTCTGTAGATTCAGCCATAATTTCACGTTGTTATACTATTCAACTATTATTTAATATTTTTATTGATTTAAATATATGATGAGATGCTTAGTTCTCCTGGAAATCGATTTTTAATCGCAATTTTAACTTTCCAAAAAAATTCAAAAATAAAAATTCCTCTCAATTTTCTAAGTTTTATAACTCGCCAAATCTCTAGCCAAATTTTTTTTGGCCCGTATAAATATTGTTAGGCATAGGGTTGTTAGATTCCCGACGATAGGTGTCTTGGAAGATTTGCCTGGTGTCATCATAGTGTCTTTAAATCAAAAATTTTATTTTGGAGTTAGTTTTATTGATTTTTCAATAAAAAACATTTCTAAAACAAGAAAATAAAACGATAAAATATTTATATTTTATATAAGGATCTTATATATTTAAAATAAATATCATTTTATTTTTTTCATTGGTGTCTGTCAAACCATAATACACTATTCAAAAATTCAATGTGTCTTGCGGTTTCAAAAGACACCTTCAAATTGAACGATAGCACAGACACTATTGAATTTTACCCATTGTATTTAGTTTTTACCCTTTTTATTTTTAAGAATTAATGACTGAAACAGCCGTTTTGCTATGACCTCAATCACTTTTATTTATTATTTTAAATATTATTTAATTTTATTATTTGAATAGGCCAACTTATATTTGAGAAGCTCAATTTGAGACCACTTAATACATTGAAATATCATAAATATTGAAATATTAAAAAGTGTATTTCAAAATATTGAAATTATAAAAATTTATAATACTGAAATTGAGACAAATTAATAAATTCAATGTGTTTTTTTTTGAAATAACTCTCAAATATTATTTTTTTGTTTATTTAATGATGAATAAATATGATTGCTTTAGTCAATCATAAAAACTAATTTAAGTTTAAAATAATGAAAGGATAATTTGATCGTTTTTTAAAATACAATTATTTTTGATGATTTGCAAGAATCTTTGAAAAGAATATAATATAGGTTCTATTTTTGTAAAATTTATCCAAATCATGTATTACATAAATTACGATTAAAACGATGAAAGAACCAAAAAGTGTGTTTTGTGTTTTGTTGTTGCGTGTTGGATGCGGGATCCTGTTATTTCCGAAATCGACAAAAAATTTGGAAATTTAATTTCCGAAATCGAAATTATATTAATGTTTTTAATATTCTTATATCAAAAGGATTAAAGTTCATTAAGAGAAAAACAATTCTTCTTCTTCAATCTATTGGCGCATTTATTTCTACACGCCAATAAGGAAGGGAAAATTATAAGACACCATGGTGTCTTCAAAACGCTAATTTTTAATATTTTTAACAACCCTAGTTAGGCACTATATAGGGATGCTATTTATCCTATTTTCATCCCATTTTACTGTTATCGCCTAGTGAATGTACCTTTGTTATCTCATGTACGGTAAGAATATTGCTGTGACAAACCAATTTTTTTAAGTTAATATTTGGAAAAACACGATGGATACATTTTAATATGCATAGGACATCTAAATAACAAACTTTTAGCGGCCCGCATTAACTTTGAACTATCTCTTTATTTGTTGTAAACCATACAATTTAAGAGAAAATTTTCATTCAGTAAATAAAAGTGACATAACAAACCTTCACCAGTAATATTTCCAAGATATTAATTTGTGGTGACTTAATCATGTTCATTGATAGCAATTTTAAAATAGAGATAGATATTACATTTAGTAGTCAATAATCAAGTTCCAAATCATTACGGAATTAAAAATTCTGCTATACATTAAGTGCCCTAAACAAGTTAAATATATTTCTAAAAGAAAATGAATAAAACAGTTTATTATTTAAATTTATAATTTGATAGGAAACTCTGGTGATAATCTCTTCTGGTTACATGATGATCAAATAATAATATAAGACCAAACTTTCATTAATTACTTAATTGAATTCTTGTGATTTTGAATGAAATTCAATTTTTCAAGAGTTTCATCTTAAATTGTATCCTTGCTAAGGTTAACGACCATTTCTTTACGAGCCATAGCAGAAATGATTGAATAATCGTGATACATGACCTGATACTTTGAAAATGCCGGAATTGCAGAGAAAGGAATCGTATGGAATTGTGGGATGGATGAAACAAGGAGGATACTTTCGCAGCCCTCTGGGAATTTGGCAACAATCGGCTCGAAAGACTTAGTTAATTTGTCAATAAATTCAATGAACTCTGGATTTGTAACTTTTCCAGCAATAGCGCCTAAGTCCTGCGATTGCTGTGGCTGAACAGGTTGTTTAGGTGGTTCTTGGGCCTTTCCTTTATCACCTTTCTTTCCTTTTCCTTTTCCACCGCGTGGTGACCCCCCCTTCTTTTTATCATCACCCCCTTCATTGGCCGGTGTCTCAGCAGCCTTTTTCGGAGGAGCGATAATTTGCTTAAATATTTCAACTTTGTAAGCGATTGTTTCCAAGTCTAACTTCAACAACTCTTGCTCGATTATATCCTTTTCATTGCTATAAGCAATAACAGATCCAATCAAGTTGTTTTCGTTCTGAGAAGTGTTGTCAACAACCAAAGCGAACAATTTCTTTTCCGTGCAAACTTTTCTGAATTGTTCGATGTCAAATTGAGCTTTCAAAAGAGCAGTGATACTTGGAACTTCCTTAAGGAATCTCTGGCATTTAACATACAAAGGAGAAATCTCTGGTCTGTGGAATTTGAATGATAATCTCTTATTTTCTTCAACAAACAATCTTTCTCTGTTTTCTGGTGGAGTATTCTTCTCGAGTTGATCGAATCTTCTTAAATAAGCACGTGAATTCTGTCCAGAAACAAACATCTGAACAGAACCTGCCGGATCACTTCCTTTGAGGATTCCAAGGAGTTCTATTGCTGTATCTTCAGCTTCTCTATCTTCATCCAATTCTATTAAAAGAGGGACCGCGTTCCAAAGGTATTTAACAGCATTTTGTGTTGTCACAACATCCTTTGCGATGATATGCAAACAACGACCGAGTAACAATTCCAAATGTGCATTCAATCTCTTGTTGATTCCTTCGATATTTTGGACACTGTTGAAATACATGATTGCCGAAGTTGCTGATAAATCAACTAATGGTTCTTGTTCCTTATCAATGAATTCATTCAAGATAGAATCATGGCTTCCAATGATTTCATAATCCAAACCATTTAATCTCATGTTTTCTATCTGTGGTCTATAACCAACAACTAAAGTTCCAAAGATATTGATGACTTCGACGTATCTCATTAAGATAGGAATAGATGCTTCAGCTCCTTTCTCTGATGCAGTTGCATAACTTGATTCCATTGCGTTGATGAACTGTATCATATCACGACCAACAGATCTGTATTCCAAAATGATGGCAGGGAATTTGTCTGTTTTGATCATTCTCGACAAATAACTCAATCTTATATCGATGGAAGGAATAAAAGAGTTCGGGAGAATGAGTTTTCCTGATATGGATTCGAAGAATTCTTTAGCATCATCGGCATTCATGAACTCTGATGCGTATTTATAGAGATTATAGACTTTGATTGTTTCGTTTATTGACATATCTTCTTTGACACAAGAATCAACGAATTTGTCAATCATCGCGTGAACGAAAGCACTTCTATTCTCTTCTTCATGACTTGTGAAAGCTGTTGAGAACCAATGCAACCAATTATCTAATGGCATTCCTTCTTCAGGTGCTGCACACTGTAATTTTTCAACAGCTTTGGAGAGATTTCCTGATCTGATATTGATAATTGCCAAACAAATGTTTGCTTCAGACATTGTTTGCGTGTCTTGAAGCTCTTCAGCTTGTGATAAAGCTGCTTCAGCAATTGTCAATGCAGGTCTTATATCTCCAAGTTCCAAAAGAAGGAAGCATTGTCTTAACAATGTTTTTCTTAATGGTAGTAATTCAGAAGGAGGATCTGATTGATATCTTTCAACTTTTTGGTTCCATTCCATTCTTTCGCTATCAGTAATTCCGAAATCTTGGTCATATGGCAATGTACTGACCTGATCCAATCTATCCAAGAACAACAAGAACGACATATAAATGATTTGTTCCAATCTGCTGTTGTGTATCAAAATCTTTGATATCAACATAACAATGTACCACAATGTCATCAAATTATATTCATTTCCTGTGTATTGGATGATTTGAACAGCTTCAAGAATCATGTTTGCGAAATCATAAGGGTTTTCAAATTCAGGACATTTGTGTTTATCAACTTGTTTCATCAGTTCTTGCCATTGAGCAATATTTGAAGGAATTTGCTTGAAATCTGTTGGTGTTTCTTCTTTAGGAGGTGGTTGGTTTGTTTTATGTTGTTGTGCGGTACTTTTACTTGCTCTTGCACTTCCTTTCTTTTTATCTGGTGTTGCTTCTTCTTCTATTGTTGTTTGGTTCATTTCAGCTATTGTTTGCCAGAAAGATTCACTTGTTTTGATGATATTATTTGAGCTTTCGTTGAAGATCGAAATATCCTTTGTTGTTTTCAGTCTAAACAAATCAATTTCAAACAATCTTTGTGTTTGGAACAAATTGTTTTCTTCTAAAAGAGCTGCATCTTTCGCTTTTGTCAGTTCTTCTTCAATGACTTCGATCTTTTCATCTTGTGTTTCAAGCCATTTTGCGAAATTCATAGCTGTTCTAAATCTTTCTGTTATGTCGTTCTCTTTAAGAACTTCTTCTGCCTTCATCAAAGCTGTTCTTTTAACATCGCAATCAGTTGCTAAATCAGAAACAAATGTCCATAATCGGCTTTGATATTTGGAATCTCCGAGTTGTTTAACTCTCAACATTTCATCGATTAAAGGTGTTTGAGATTTAGAACAATCAGCATTAGCAGTGACAATCAAGTTTAGTTCCCATAACTGGTTATGAACATTTTTATCTAAACTTGTAATTGCATCGTGAATAAGTTTTCTGCATTGTGTCCAATCTTTTTGGTCAATCAAAACTTGTAAATATATTCTAAATATAGAAACTCTCATATCATCACCGATTTGTATCTGTTTCGTCAATGACAAAGCTTCTGGAAGTATTTCTGATAGATATTGTCTGAACTTCGGGAAGTTTTCACCATCAGAAATTGTTGAACAGAAGAAAGACAAACTCAATTTCGCGTTATCAATGTTTTGAGCTTGACTGAAGTTAATTGCAGCATTTAAGAAGTCATTTGCTGCATCAACTCTCAGTTTATCCTGGCAAGAAAACTCTTGTAAGTCTGGTTGTATCAATTTAAGATAAGCAAAGCCTCTTGTGAATCTCGCCAATCCACAGTAATATAATTCATCAGGGTTATTCGGGGAAGGAGTTAATTCCAACATTTTTGTGGCAGAATCAATTGTTAATTGTCCTAAGTCGAGTTTATTAGATCTCTCACTCAATATTGCATATAATGCTGGACTTGAAAGGTTCTGCAATGATGAGTAAATCGACGATAATGTTTCACTTTTGTGTTGAACTTTTTCATTCATTATCGTTGCGAGTTGGACCAAAATTGATGTTTCTGGATCGGATTGGTTTGGCGGAAGAGCGTTTCGTCTTGCGAATATCTCAACGAGTCTGTCAACAAGAGCTTTCTTCTCATATATGCTTGAAACAACTGGTAAAGCTTTAAGAGCTGTGTCTTCAGCCAATTTCAGTTGTTTTTGTTTTGTTGCATCCAATGTTGGACCTTTCTTCTTTGCTGCTGCTTGTTGAGTGTTTTGTGCATTGGCTGCAACAGATGCTTGTGAAGCAGGAGGAGGTTCTGTGCAGATTTCGAGTAAAATTTGGACGAAATAATTAACAATTTGTCCAATCATTTTCTTTGCTGGTTCGAAATCGAGTTCAAACAAAGTAGTGACGCAATCTCCAACAACATCAACGAATTCTGTTGATCTCGCTGGTTCTTGTCTGGAAAAGAAGGAATTCCAGATAGCGGTTATCGCATTGAAAATAATTCTGGAATTTTTGAGGACTTTTCCTTTTGAAATTGCGAATTGCAAGAAAGAAACAGCATCTTGAGGTCTTGATGATGCAATTGCTGATGTGATTCCAGGAACAACAGATTCACATTGTATTTCAACAGCTGCATCATATTGAACGTTATCAAACTCGAAACTCAAAAAAGTTTTACAAGAATCAACAGCAATTTGTACTTGGCTTTGCGATGCTGATTTAATCAACTCAGACCAAACACCTGCGAAATGTGCTGCTTCTACTGCATCGAACTTTTGAGTGTCTTCTGGTTTGATGGCGTTCAATATTTCCAATGATTGGTTCAGAGAAGAAACAGTTGGTCTTCTGGACTGTGCGATAGGGGCATAAGCTCTGTCGAACAGATCAACTTGTTGTCCGAAAGAGTCCAAGTTTACACTCAGCATTTTGTAGAAAGGGAACAAAAATCTGTCGAAAGGATGCTGAAGTTTTGTTGGATGGTCATTGGAAAGATAATCCAAAGCAATTGCTTTTTTGAGTTGATCTAATGCTTTGAGATTATCCCTATCAGCTTCGAAGATCTTTGCCAAAGCGAAATGCATTTCTGATCGCATTAAATTCGCTTGGCTTCCGATTCTCGAAAGAATTTCAACAGCTGTCAAAAGATGTCGTTTTATCAATCCTGGACGATGTAAAACGTTCAATGAATGTGACCAAAGCATTGCAGCTGCATCTTGTACTAATACTGTGTCTCCTTGTGCTTGTGCAAGTGACATACAATGTGCACATGTCGAAACAACATCGGCAATTTCATCAGGAGACATTTGTTGGTCTAAAGCAAGTTGTGCATTAATTAGAATGGCATGGATACGTGCTAATGCTGCACGGGCTCCGGAAGCACGTTGTGCACATTCTTGGGCTAATTGTGTCTGTCCAAATTGGGCTGCAAGACGGCCAATTTCGCCTGACAAAATTTCAAAACAAGCTGTTTCTTCTGGAACGTCTTTCTTCGTATCTAAGAAGGTCGTACATATCTTAAAGGCTTCTGCAAGGTCTTTAGTTTGTGTCTGATTGTTGGATCTGGCTCCTTGGTATAAAATAACTGCTTTTTGTAATTGATCATTCATATCCATCTTAACTTTCAATAAACCACCTGGAGACTTACGGGAGAAGTGCGTAAGGAGGTGTAGTAATGAGAATTTGAGCATTAAATTGTCGGCTGGTATCATTGTAAAAACTTTTTGAATTTGCTTAGAAGCGTCATCAGATTTTTGGTTGTCGTCAAGCAAACAGCCATTCAATAAGGATAATGCAACGTAAAGACGAGTAGTACTGTTAAATTCTCCAGTTACTAATTGAGTTTCGAGAAGTTGAAGCGCAATTGGGGTTGCTGTTTGCAAATAATGACGTAATTCGGATGGGAAGAATGGAAGAGAGATTTGGTAGAATGTGAAAACAGCACGAAGAGTTAATGGTTGATATAATGTTGTTGATTGGATACTTTTAAGTGCACGTGTAATAAAATCGATTGCTTTGAGATTTAAATCAATTGCAGCTTGTCCACGATGTTGTTGTCCTCTCCAATTGTTGATTAATGATTGAATTATTTGTGCACGAACTTGAAATTGGTTCATTGGTTCTTGTAAACGATTATACGCCAACACCATATTCTCGGCCTTATCAACAATATGCTTTTGAATTGGAGGTGGCAAATCAAATAGTCTTTCTGCAAGTAATATGAACAAATCTGAAGAAAAACCTGTAGAGGATGGTGAAGTAAGCTTATTATAGGCATTCAACAGACTTTGTTCTGTGATTTTCGTGTTACTTGTCAGGAGAAGTCGAAGAGATTGCTCCATGAAGTAACGGAATAATTTTCTATCGTCCTTCAAAACGAGATTTCCAAAATAAATATAGATTTTGTAATTCATTTCAATCAACCATCATCTGGAATGTTAGAAAATAACTTAAAAATTCATTATATCGATGATTCAATTCTTGATATTGACAAACTATTGAGATTTCTACCAGGACTACCAAATTTAGGTAATGCATATTGATTATGTATTAATAGCATTATAATTGGTTTTCATTACACAATATTGAAACGAAATTTCTGTCAATGTATAAAGAACTAGATTAAAAATGATTGTAATTACTTTGCTTATCATTATTATCGCTATTTGAAATAGTTTTATATTGATATTATGTTGTTTTACATGTAATGTATTCAATATTAAAGGTTTGTAACAAAAATATAGTGATACGTTATCGGAAATTCAGACTTGATACCATACTTATCCTTCCAGAGAAAGAAAGATCCATTTGTAATTGCCAAAATAATTTTATTTAACTCAATCATCATCAGTGTATCATACATTCAATAAAATTTGTACAATATATCAGTAACAAATCCTGTAGTTTAGTATAGTTTATGATATCTATTCATTCTTCTGAATAATTATCAATGAATTTCCTGAATTCGTTAAAAAGAGGTAGAAAAACGACTTTCCAAAATTTTTAACGGAAGTATGTTTCATAATGCCTCATATCTGAGAGGGAAGTTCCCTTTCATGTAAACTATTCAATTCGAATGATGCGATTTTTTTGACAAAACCTTTTCGAATGTACAAAGAAGAAGAGGCTACTTCCAATGAAAAATCAAAGGATAGAATTAATGAAAATACCGATATCCTTGGTTTTTTAATACCTTTCATTGTAGATTATGAAGATATCAACGATTTAGAAAACCATTTAAAAGATTTGGACCAAAATTGCATTAAATCAAGCGAGATTATAGATACATTGCTGTCAAAGTCACAGGAATTTGAAGATCAGCTTCCATTTTTAAAGGTAACGTTGAAATTACTAAAACTTTGCTGCTCAGAGACTTTCAAGGGAGGATATCCATGCATATTGATCGAATATATCGAATACAACCTACAAAACTTCGAATCTGCTGAAAATCTTCTCTTAATATTGAAAATTTTGAAAAAATTACTCAAATTATCAAGCCAAGTTTCGAAAATATTTACTAACCTCACCATTTTCCATCAAATAATGGCTCTCGGTGAAGAAATGATTGAAAAAGATTGGATACAAGTCAAAAACCAAATTTTGAAAATTTTGTCACTTTTTCTAAAAAGTAACAGTTTTTACAGCGAAGTATTGATTGCTTATGGTGAAGAAAGTGCAGTAGAACTCTTAGAGAAGATGAAATCCCTTGCATTATGTTCATTTTCCATTGAAACTGCAAAGAATTGTTTAGAATTATTATCTTCAGGAATTTCATTGTTTATCTTCGGAGATTTGTTCATTGATGATAGTATTATCATAAACCTCTGTGTTCTGATCAATAATGAAGAGTTAAGACCGAAAATTTTGAAATATTTATCTTATTCAGCAAAAAAAGTTCCAAATTTTATGGTCAATGACTTAATAATGGATTTAGATTGCAGTAAATTCGATGATGATATGTTAGTCTATTCATATAATTTGATTTCGAACGTAATCAAAGAAATTCAAGATGAAAAAGTTCTTTCTGTCATTTTTAATTCGATTTTCTTTAATTCTTTGATTAATTTCATCGGAAATTGCAGTTTAAAAGTGCAAATCAAGCTCTGTAATGTTGTTTCGTTGATAATTATTCACAAAATCGATTATTTCGATGAAACAAAATTTACTGAAATTTGTCAATTTCTTTGTGAAAATCTTGATTCATCTGATAACCAATTTACTGTTATTTCTGCCGTTTCTATCATTTTCCCCAAAGTTGAGAAAGATGAAGCCATGATTTCCGCAATTGAAGATTTAGCTGATGATATTGATAACGAATGCAGTGACTTGGCATTCGAACTATTATCATCTCTTGAAGAATAAATTTTTAATTTTAATTATTCTCTTTCATAAAAAAAAACTCAAACGACAACAAATCCGAACAGAGTGGAACAACATGCACTATTGTTAATTTCTTGGAAAATACGTTCAAAATATTAAGGTTATTGATGGCAATGTCTTTGAATTTGAAAATTAGACGACTGAAAAATTTAAACTCATTAATTATCGAATTGTTATCGATTATATAACGTATGACAATGAATATAGTGGTTTTATACTGACGATCATTAATTTACCAAAATGCGGTTCTTTTTCTCGAAAATTTGCCATGTCAATGAAAATTGTCTAATTCGTTGGAACATTTGGTTACAAATCATTTGATATTTTTAATTCAATTTCAGAAATTAAAAAAAATCCGATTATTAACAAAAATTGTGGAAACATAAGACAAATGTATGATCATTATAAAACTAGAAAGAAAATATTCGATTGAATAAAATTTGGTTGATGAACTTTAAAAAAAATTGGATATAAATAAACTCTATTTTGCGTTTACATCTCTTTGGTAAATGTAAACTTCAGAAAATTAACTTTGATCGTAATTTGAATAAAAATTGTGACCAAAAACCATTTAGAAACTAGTGATGATTGCTAGACGTGCTGCTGACAAATGGGAGCAAATATTCCATAATACACATGAATCAATCCAAATGGCAATACAGTTCGAGAGTGCTCAAAATTTTGACAAGATCCTTGATAGATTAAATAAATATTGTCCAGGTTTGCACTACGGATCAGATGGAAAGTATATTTTCAAAACAAATAACAAGGTATCAGTATATAAACTACCTGATCAATACAATAATCTTGCAGAATTATCAAATTTAATGTTTTTTAAGCATACTCAGCCATTGGATCAATCATTAATGCAGATTGGTATCAACAAAGATGCAATGGTTTTGAATATCAATCATATAGCAAGTGATGGTATGTTCCTTCATAAAATCTTCGATGTTATTAAATCTGAAGACGAAATTACAACTATCCCTCAAATTGTCGCAACTGAAAAACAATTTGAAAAAGAAATCAAAGAATACACAGGAAGAAAAATCCCATTCTTCTCTGTTGATCATTCATTAACAAGAATTCACCCGAAGATCAAACAAGAATTTCATTCAAACATGAAATCAGCTAATAATCTTTCATATACAGATAGCAAGAATTTAATGACAACCAAAATCAATGGCAAAGTTTCTCAAATGACAGAAAACTTTTGGATTTCTGTAATCTTATCAACATTTGCGTTCAATGATAAAATTGATAAGGCAGGAGCTTGTACAATGGTTAACTTAAGACCATTTTTGCAATCATTCAAAGACACAGAGGTTACTTGTTCTTTTTCAAGTGTTGCTGTAACATCAGATGTTTCGGAATCTATGGAAGTTTCTGAGTTAATGAAGTCATTAAGAAAGAATTTCGAGGAAAGAATTAAGAACAAAGAATATATTGGATTCATCAAATCACTTCCTGATGAAAATACAATATTTGATACTTTCCTAGGTTTAGGACTTGATATCTCTCTTATTCAAAAGTTCAAATTGAATGATAAGATGAATGATTTGTATATTGGCCTAAATGAAGCTGATTTTGGATTTTCAGATCTGCTTTCAATCACAGGATATTCAGTGGAAAAGGATGGAACTAATAAAATTATGAGCAACGTTAAATTCTCACCAACGACTCTTGGTGAATTAGAAGGAAAAGTTCTTTCAAGATCAATCATCTTTGGTCTTGAAAGTATACATCCAGATATGACTGTCAAGAAGGCGGTTGAATTGCTCCAAGAATATCAGAATGGACTTCAAAAGACATTAGAAAGTCCTATTATCAAATATTTAGACTAAAAAATCAATTTTATATTCTCGAGTTTTCATAAGTGCAAAGTTCTCACAAATCGATTGGATTTATCGTAATGATTCCCAGTTAAGACATACTCCTTCGGCTGTTAAAGATATTGCATATACGAAATATTTTGTTGGTACAAATGTGTTCAAATGTGCATTCATGCATGAAAATTGGACTTGTTATTTAGTAGCTCATTTTCTTGAAATATGGACAACTTCATCATATAAAATTGAAGTGAAATTCTATTCAGATTCTTGCAATATTGTTGTAAAGAAGAATATTGAATTCCTTGAATGTTTGATTTATGCAGTTGACCATCAAAAATGGCCATCGAGTGTTGATTTTGATATTATTACTTTGGGCAAAATGTTAACAGAGAAATAGTTGATCGAGATCCTAAAGTATCTATTTTAGTTGCATGTAATGCAAAAGATTTTCTTGAAAACATGAAGAAAAACATCTCTCAATCAAAGATATGTAGAGATGTTAATGCCAACTGAATAACATTAATTAAAGATATTTTGTCAAGAATTTTTTTGAATGAAGGTGAAACGATAAACAATGCAAAAACGAATTTTTAAATTCAAAACTTTGAAAAATCGCTTTGACAATCAATAAGACGATTGAAATATTCCAAGATGAAGGCCAAATATTTCAATATTTACACTAAAAAATCAAATCTTAAATTTCTCATTAACAACAAGAGTTTCTTTATGAGAAAGATTAAAGCATAAGATTATGAAGAATTTTTTGTTATAATAATCTCATATTTAGAATCAATATGCTGAATATTATGACTATTAACCTTAATTTTTAAAATTCAAATAAAAAACGGTTTTCAAAATTCTGATTCGGTTTTTGTTATGTAATTTTATTTAATGATATAAAATTGATTAATAAATTATTTTTAATAATCTAACCTTAAACTTTCAATTGATCAAAATTGAGAACATGCCAACCCACCTCATTGGATCATTGAAATCTTCTTCATGAAAATTTGATGGAATATTGAAAGCTGAAAGGAAGAACTATATCTATTTTTGTTTAATGTTCTTTAACAATCTTCCATTAAAATATTTAAATTATTAGTAAATATGATATGATCTTCAAAGAATTTATTTTCACAGAGTTTTCTGTTAATTTTGAAGTTGATTTAGAAGACTTTAGTACAAATACTTCATTATTTGATGATTTCGAATTCAAAAACTGCTACTTCAAAAGAAATTCTAGTCATAATGACTACATTATTAATATTACTAACACAGATAAAATTGAGCATCTAGTTTCAGTTGAACTGAGAAAACGAATTGACAAAAGTAGATATAATATTTCTCATGATGATTCTATTCTTACAATATATAACGAAACTAACACAAAAGTCATATCAATTAATGCTAAAATCGCATATTTTCAAGAAAACAAAGATTTTTTAATTATAAAATTATATCATCAAAACTTATATTCAAATACATCATACAATTTTACAATGATTAACTCAATAAAAACATATGAAAAAGATCCTTCTTTGGAAGTTATCATTTCAAATCACAGTATTTCTCAAATAAGAGATGAATATTTGGTCCAAATCGATGGATTTGTTGAAAATTCTATAAATACAGATCGAATACTTGAGTTGCATTATTGGATTGATTCAAATCATCAACAAGAAAACTTATTTAATTCTAATTACATCAACATTAATCCAAATTATCCATTTTCACATAACATTCGAATTGATAATCAAAACAACGAGTTTTTTTCAATTTCATTTGCCTGCATAGATCAACATCAAATGATCTATAGTAATAAAATTAATTATAATTATAGTCTTGATAAAACATTAGATCTCAAAAATAAATTACATGATGAAACGGAAGATTCTGATCCATTTATTCCAACATATAATAAATTTATTCCATTAGGTGTAAAATTTTTTGAAACAGATTTGAAAAAATATGATGCACTCCCAGTTTTTAATTCCACTCTTTTCAACTCAGCACATATAAAAAGGAACATACTTAGAACTAATGGTACAGCATTAGAAATTATTAGAGCTGGTAAGAGAATTCCATATAGACAGGAATTTTGGAAAGTAAATATAACAATTGATAATGGAGTATGGAGGTGTTTGGGCATTAACTACACTAAAGATATTGATTTCAGCACCAATTATTCTGTGAATTATGAAAAGATAGGCAAAAATTTATATGCTCCTGTTGATGTACCAATTAATGAATATGGACTTGGTGAACATTGCATTTATTTTTATTTTCGTTATGAACACATGGATGATCCTATGAATAATTTTTCTAGATCAATAAAAGTATATTTTGAAATTTTTAGACCAATATTAATTCTTTCTGCTACAACACCAAATACATCTTCAAATGGAAGTAATAAACAAATACAATTCAAAGTTAAATTCGATTATTCAATAAACACTGATTTCTTGTTCAATTATACACTTGATTCGTTACATACACAATCAATAAGTATTTCTTTATCACAAGAAATAGAAGAAAAAACATTCACAATGGATGTGCCAGACCTTTCAGTTGGTCAACATCACATCGATTTTAAAGATGATATCAATGAGTATTCAATCCCATTCGAAGTATTTAATGAAAAATCTCCTGAGATTGAGTATTCAGAAACAACTACACAAGGAAATCCAAATTCTCACATTAAAGGAATCAGTGAGACAGTATCAATTAATTGTAAATATCGAGATTTAGATGGAAATGGGAAAATTTATTTCAATTATTATTTCGATAGCAATCAACCAACATCGATTTTTGTATCAGACCTTACAAACACAAATTGGATATCATATTCAAAAACGATTAATATTGATGGCTTAACAACATCTGATTCAACAATTCACTCATTAACGATTTTCTTTTCTGATGAGACAAATCATAAATCAGCATTGAAAAAGTATTATTTCAAATATGTTCGAAATCATCCAGTCTTAAGTTTTGTTCAAAGTCCTAAGAGTTCTTTCACATATCAAGTTGATAAAACATTAGATGTTAATCTTCGATATTCAGATCTTCGCGGAAGTGGAACATCATCAATGATTTATTATTCATATGATAATAACAATTATTATTCACAAATAAAAACGATTTCGATGACATCAAACCAAATAACAACATCATTCTCAATCGGATTAGATCAGTTTTCAAAAGAAATATCTCACACTATAAATTTCAAAGCAATCAATTCATTTAATGAAGAAACTGCTAATATTCCGCATCAAATCATAATTAGCTATTCCAATCCTAAATTAACAATAACAACTCCACCTTCTTCATCATACACAAGGAATATAGATTATTTCATCTCTGTTTCAGGAACTGTTCAAGACACAAATCTTGGAACTATTGTTTTGCAATATAAATATGATAACAACGATGTATTCAATACAATTGATAGAATCACCATAACTGGAACAACACAAATTATATCATTCTCAGCAAATTTATATATTGATAACGCTATGACAGAAAATACCCATTCGGTCACAATCCGAATTATTGATTCATATAATAAAATTCATCAATTGAATCCATATTCTTTCACATATAAATATCCTAAACTGGATATTCAGTTTATCGAGAAATATGATGTAAATAGAGCCCCAATATTTTTTCGAGGATTTAATGATACAATAAAAATCCCAGTTATTGTTTCTTATTTTACTGAAGTCCAAAAATTATTTATAAATTATGTAATCGAAAATACTAACTATATCGGTCAACAGGAATTATCAATGAATAATGAAATATCTCGAGCTACTGAGATCCAATTTCAAGTTCCAAATACTTATGAAGAAAATAAATATAAGATCAAAATAAATGTAGTCGATAGTACATATTTTAAGAACTCAAATGAACTCTATTATTTGTTTAATTATACATGTGCTGAACCATTTAAACATAAATTTTGCACTCAAAATTACAATATTTATCTAATGAACAAATTAGGTTTAAATACGGCTTTACTACTTGGATTTGATTGAATCTATTTGCTCTAATTTTCCAAACATCATTTGTAATAAGGTTTAAATATGGCTTTATTACTTGGATTAAACTAGATTGAAATAAAAATATCATATTTGTTGATTATAACTTATAAAAAAATATGATAGATGTTGTGCGAATTTCTTACAAAATGTATATTCCAAATACCTATCACCTCAAATTGTTTTGGGCATTACAAATTCATTTAAAAATAGGACCCAATTTTCTGAATTGAAATACCTGAGGCAATGAATATTACCTCAATTTATGATATTAAATATTATTTTGATCAAATTTATCTTTTACATCACTTTAGTAACATCTCATACTCATAATATAGTAAGTACAGACAAGAGTGGGCTATAAACTCCGTTTCCTTCGTAAATTCTCTTATTCAAATTTTTGATAGAGATTCACTCAATATTGTGGAAGAAAAACGATAGGGAGACTTTACGAAGGAAAATAGACAGTATATGTAGACTATTTCTATGCAAATTAAAACAAAAAATTATTAAATTAACAAACTACTATATAAAGTATTTATAAACAATTCATAAATATGCATATTAAAAATCTATATCATCACCATGTTCGCTATTTCTTGATTCAGATTGTTCGTCATAAATCCTATTCAAGTATTTGAGCTCAATTCTCCTCTTTATCTTCGCATAAACGCAAACTGAGAATGTAACTAACAAAATGAATCCAACAACTGATGAAATAATAATAACAATTTTGAGCCAAGTCTTCATATTCTGTTTCTTGACGAGATAGAACACGGCTTGTTTGTTTTCAATGACACAGCTTGTGTCTATTATTGATCCTATATCAAATGTTGATTTTGATGAAATTTTTGTTTTCCAATTTTTACATTTTGATTTGGAAAGTTTTAGAACAATAACTTTGAAGTCTTTGATGCTGGAACTAACAGCTATTTGTTGTGTATCTGTTGCAACAAATTCTATTTCACCTTTTTTAGATTCTTGCAAATCCATTTCAATATAAGGGATAGAAGAAGAGTTAAATGGGATAATGATATTTCCTGATTCATCTGGATTGTAAGTTAGCCTTGCAAACGCGTTTTCTGAAAAATTAATATTATCTGCCGAAAAAGTTCCGACATTTAAATAGTCGGATGAGTCCAAATACAAATCATGAGTATTCAACGTGCCACCGATGACCCTTCCTGCTTGAGAAATTTTAATATTCGATACTTTTATGTTATTATCAAGCAAAAGATTCAAAGGGTTCATGATTTCTATCTGATCAAACTCAACACTGAAGTTTTCTGGTATAATAAATTGAGTTTCAGATGAAATCGTGAAATTAATTGGAATTTTTCCGGCAACATCACGAAAAGCAACAGTTCCACACGGATCAATCCTCAAAGATTCAACTGCTGATGAATTTCTGGAGTCAATTATAATGACAGAGTTCGGATGGTTGTTTTTGAGAAATACATTGCCAGGAGATTGCGAATTTAGATTGATTTCTGTAATCCAAGGCAGGTTATTATCAATAGTAATTGTTTGGCTCCTGCGGAATCTTCTGTCATCAATAATAATCCCATCATTCTCAAAACTAATGTTTTTTGGGGAGTAATTCAACAATTCATACCCTTTAATGGTATAATTTGTACTTCTGAAGTCCGAGTACGTATCAAATTTCATTTCTGTCACTGAAACAGAAAAATTCGAATAAATATCAGAATGAATAAGGGAAACAGTACCAATATTGATATCATTGTTAAAATAAGCATTGATACCAATCAGTTTCAATGATTTAAATGATGTTCCTTTGATGTTTAAGTCTAATTTATCTAATTCTGCATTTTCCCATTCAATTCTTACGTCTTGGTGACAATCAGAGAGGTCTATTGTATGTACACTCTGATTAGATATATAAATATCAACAATTGATGACTCATTTGGATGATATTTTTGTAAATTATCATCAATTATGTAATTATCCGGACAAAAATAGAAACTGTCAACGAAACATAGTTTAAGATGTTCTTTATAGTTTCCATCATCAGTTCGATTCAAATCTATACAATAATTTCCTTCATTTTCTGATTCATGATATAAAATATCATAAAACTTGATTGTATCGCTATCAATGAACTTCATTGTCTCCTTTTGCATGAAATTCTTCTGTTTGCTGCAAATAATATTGCGATAATACTTAGTACTAGATTTTATATTAAAATTAAAATATTTTTCACTTCCGTCATGGAAATTATCAATTTGTAATGACATTGCGGATGAATGTCCTGCAAAAGTGATCGAAATAAATTCAGAAATCGTTACATTTTGGAAATAAGAAAATCCACCTGTAAATCTGAAGTTTCTCATCATATAATAGTTCCCATAGTAATTAGACTTGTAGAAATCCAAGTCTATCATAACCAAAACATTGTTTTCTCCGGTATAAATATTAGAATTTGAAAGTTTTGTAGAAAAGATCATGAAATTCATTTTGTCTACATTGTTGAATGTGATATTTGAGTTTGACGCATTCAAATATTGTAAATATGAAAGATTTGCCAATATGAAATTTGCATTTGAGTTTTTTAAGTCGAAATGTACCAAATTTGACATGTATTCTGACATATAATTGATATCATTGGTGGAGTGAACGTAAAATTGCACGTGTTGTGGAGATATTCCGTGATTCAAAATAGAATGTACTGGAAATCTGCTGGCAATTATATTTGTTGGCTCAACAAGGTTGAAATGGATGAATGATTTGAGCATGGCTTGTGAAACAAAATATTGCCAAATTTTAAGTGTAGAATGAGGGGTAATCATGTAGAAATTCAAATCTACGTGGCATTTGAAAACGTTTAATTGAATTTTGTTGTCATTTTCAAGTGAAATTTTTAAACCTTGAAATTGTGCTCCGAAACTTACATTTCCTGTGACATTTATAATATCTATGTTAACTTGTGATGAGTCTAATTGCAGAGAAACTGTAGTTTTGTTGATGTTCGCATTTGAATCATAAATTATTTTAAAATTCGAAGCTTGAAGGTTGGATATCGATTTTAATGATATCAGATCTGATGAGATGTCTTCAACTGACATCTTTATACCTGCTATTGAATTGAATTTGGTATTTTTCATAGTGATTTCTTTTGCTGAAAGAACATACTTCTCTGTTTCGATTGTTATGTTGGTCAATGCGATGTGAATATCACTGAAAAAGCTAAAAAGAGTATCAAATTTAAGTGATGTCTCATCACTTAACCCGTTAATTGAAAATTTACAATCTTTAACGAGTTTGATTGAATCAAGATATGTAGATTCTTCTTCGAGTGTGTCTGCGATGTTAAAGATAACTGTCTGTTTTTAAATAAAAGCAGCATGAGATACAATTAGAAACAGTGAAAATAAGAAAAATCAACATACAAAAATTTACAATATACAAAAAAATTCAATGAAATCTGCCTTACAATGGCATTTGACGGCAAAATTTTGACAAAAAGTATTGAAAAATATTAAAACGATTTTCAAAATGGAAAGCTGAATAAAACTTGCAACAGCTAATTTTGCAAAGAAAGTATTGTTAATAAAAGTCGATATCTTCTGAGATTTCAGGAAAACTTGCTTCAATCGAATGTTCTTCATACATCTTATTCAAATATTTGAGTTCATATTTCTGCTTGAGTTTCTTAAAGATCAACATTGAACTAAGAACTAATAATGCAAAAGCAACAACAGATGAAATAATGATAACATTCTTCTCCCATGTTTTCAATTCATGCCTCTTAGCGATATAAAATACGGCATTATTTTTACCATCCATCCTACAAATAGTTTTCAATGGAGGTATATTTTTTGTATGAAAATAAATCGTATTTTCCCAATTATGGCATTTTGAACTCGAAATATTAATAACTGGAACTTCAAAATCAGGAATATTTGAATCAAAGGATATTTCTTCATTGTTGCGTAGTACAAATTCTATTTTACCTTTTTTCGGTCCATTATAAATCATATCAATAAATGGAATTGAAATTGCGCTAAAATAAATATGTACACGAGGTTTTTGAATTGGACTATATGTAATCTTCGCGAATGTTTCTTCGTTGAACCTAACAATCTTTGAGGAAAAAGTACCAACATATATATTATTTGATGAAAGAATATTTGTAACATTAGAATTCACTACCCCAAAATTAACTTTTCCGGAATAAAGCATATATGTTGCTGGGATCCAAATGGGATGTTCTGGTAAAATATTTAATTCATCATTAATAAAAATATTGTTGAACTCAGCAGTTAAATTTTTTGGGATAATAAATTGTGTTTGAGATGATATGGTGAAATTTATCGGTATTGTTCCAGAAATATTTCGGAAAATAACAATACCACTTGGTTCAATTTCTAATGTTTTAGTGGCTGATGAATTTATAGAGTCGATCTTTAAAATCGATCGAGGATTTGTGTTTTTAAGATACAATTTTCCTGGAGATTGGGAACTAAGATTAATTTCTGTGTTCCATTGTAAATCATTATCGATTGTAATATTATATGATCGTTTCGAAAACGCATATGATCAATTTGTATGAAATCATCATAAAATCGAATTTCCTTTGGGTTATAATTGAGCAATGTAAAATTGTTCGTAGAATAGTTGCTGTTCGTGAATGAAGACAATTGATCGAAATGAAGATCTTTAGTGTTTAAGATATAATCAGAAGTAATATTAGAGTTCTGCAGGATTACTGTTTCACAGTAAATTTCATTATTAAAGTGAGTATTGATTCCAATAAGAGTCAGTGTTTGGAAATATGTTCCAATAATAGTTAGGTTAAGTTGACTTATATTGGAATATAACCATTTAATTGATACGTCTTTATGGCATGCTGAAAGATCAAGAGTGTCTGTTTTATTTGTTAAAATAATAATATTAACTGTTGATGATATATTAGCAAATGAGTCTGCAAACTTTGGTTTTCTTTGGTAACCTTCTGGACAGCTATCTTTGTTTGTCGGAATGCATATTTTCAGATTCTCCTTATATTTATTTTTATCTGTTCTATTCAAATCAATGCAGTAATTTCCTTCTTGATCTGCTTCATGGTATATAATATCATAAACTTTAATTGAGTCTGAATCTGTGAAATTAATAGTCTTGTATTTAATGAAATCCTTTTGTTTGCTGCAAATAATATTTGAATAATAATCTGAGCTTGATTGAATTGCAAAATTAAGATTCTCTGCCCCACCGACGAAATTATCTATTTGCAATGTTTTGTTTGATGTGGAATCTACAAAAATAATTGGCTCGCTTTTATTAAGTATGGCATTTTCTATATAAAAATTGCTTCCAGAAAATTGTATACTCTTTCTGAATTTGTAGCTACCGTGAAATTTTGAATTAGTAAATTTGCATTTTTCAACGAAATCAATTAAATTCTGGCTTGAATTTAATGTTGAATTTATCATCTCTGAAACAACAATTAAAATGTGATTACTAGAACTAGCATCGTTGATTATAATATTTGAATTTACAGATATCAATTTTTGCAAGAAACCTCCATGAAGAAAAGTCAAGTTTGCATTTGAATCGGTCAAGTCAAAGACGATTAAACTTGCAATAGACTTGGAAACAAAATTAATATCATTGTATGCATATACATAATATTGGACATGCTGTGTGTTTGTTGCGTTTCTATCGAAAGTATTTGAAGGGAAATAATCAGCAATTATGTTTGTTGGTTCATTTAAAAAGAAACTGACATATGAGTCAAAAAATGCTTGAGAAATAAAATATTGCCATAATTTAAGGGTAGCATTTGGTGTAATCATGTCAAATTTCATGTTCACGTGGCATTGGAAAGCATTTAATTGTAATTCCTTTCCATTTTCGAAGGTAATTAAAAAACCTTGAAATTGAGTACCAAAACTTATATCACCAGTAACATCCATTATGTGAATATCAACAAATGATGATTTTGAACTAGGTTCAATCTTGATTTTATTATTATTTAACATTGATTTATAAAATATTTCAAAATTTGTAGCTTGAAGTATCGCTATTGATGTCAATGATTCGGAATCAGATGAAAGTGTCTCAACTGAAATGGAGATCCCTGTTTCTGGTATAAATTTTGTTTTTGTTAAACGGATTACATTTGCTGAGAGTTCGGGTTTATTCATAATGATTATAATATTTGTTAATGAGATATCATACGCAAAGAAGAATGATGATAATGCATCGAATTTTATTTTTGTGTGATTATTTAATCCCGTGATAGCAAAAGTGCAACCGAATTTAAGTCTAAGCGACTCAAAAAATGGATGATCCTTGTCAAACGAATCGGCAAAATCGAAATTAACATTTTCAGCTTCTGCAATATCTCTTGTGAAATTATCCCATTTATCAAATTTGTGAATCTGAACCTTTGCATAACCTTCTCGGCAAAGATTTTCGCTTGTTAAATAGAAACAACATGAAATGCAATTGCAATTTACAAAAAGAACAAAAATCAGCATGAAAAAAAAAAGAAAATAAGGTTATTGGGAAATTAAACATTTTCCAATGTGACTAAAGTGGTTCAATGCAATATAATAATGTCCCAAGAACATGGAGAAAAAAAAATAATGCATTTTGTTAAGTTAGATGCTTCGTTTTTGATCATTTTAAGGGTGCACTTACCACTTTCTGACATTCTCTCAATTTTTTGACATTCTAGTTTTTTATTCAAATTTTCTAAGGTAAAACGTCATTAACTTTGTTCGGAAAGAAGTTATTTTAACTCATTCTATAGTACCTTATATTACTGTTATACTTTTTTTCCAATCACAATAATGATATATTGATATTATGGAAGGATGTCAAAAAGTGGTAAGTGCACCCTTAAAAACGTTATTCGATGATTTAAAAAAGAAAAAAAGCTCGGTCACCGGGAATCGAACCCGGATCAAAAGAACGACAATCTTACATGATAACCATTACACTATGACCGATTTACATAAACATTATTTTTTTAAACTTAATAATATTTAATAATGTAAGGATGTCATTTTATCATTTATGAAATTCTGAGAATGTTTTTGGCCTTTGTTCAAAAACGGTAAATGTTACTTACATTATCTCAATATGCAAGTTCAAACTTACTTTTGATGGGAAATTCCTCAAAATTCTTTCAAAAATTTCTATCTACCAATCAACTTTTCAATTAATTTTGAAATACGAGTGATACAGATAGTTCTGATAGTTATGATTTTAATTCAAGCTATGATAGCTCTCAAACCGACTCAGAAGAGGAAGATAGTTATGATGAATTAGACCAGAATGACAATAATCTGGATATTGATCTCGAAAGGCAAAATAGATTACTGTATGATTCAAATCTCGATGACTTTGATATCTACAATTGTCAGATTCCTTCAGACCTTCCTGAATCATTCCATGAAAAGTTTGAAATTGAAAATTTAATTTGGTCAATCTCCCAAGAGTCACTGAACGATATCAAAAAGAAAGCCATTGAATTTCTTGGAAAGAATAAGAACAACCAAATCTTTCTTTGTCGCTTAATTGATAATATTATTTCAGCCAAACCAAAGCTAATCGAACTACTATTCCAAGTATACGACAGTATTTGTGAACACGCTCAAGTCGATTACGATCTCATGTCTGAATCCGGATACTTTGACTGTTATTTTTACTATAAAATGTTTTTGTATCCAAAAGACACAATAATGTACCATACAGTCATGGATGACTTGAATTCTTTCCAGCAAGAAGAAGTTAAGCATAATGGTGCTCCGTTCTCTAAATACGTTGAATTTGCTGAAAATGAGGAATCTTTACTTGATCTTGCGGCCAAATTCGGAAGTGTCAACATCTTCAAGTATTTGGTGATGTCACATCCCGAAATTCCTATGTCATCTCAGACATTTAACTCAGCTGTTCAAGGAGGCAACTTAGAGATCATTAGATATACAATGCAATACACAAAAACATCATCAGTGTCCTTAAACAAGGCTGTCAAGTTCAATAACATTGAATTGGTCGATTGGATGATTAATGAATATCAAACTCTTCCAAGTATCTATGTAACAATGATCAATGTAACGAGATTTTTCTTCCCATTACTAGATAGGATGAAATACAGCCCAATTCGTGAACAACAATTTGCAATTGAAGCCGCATTAACAAATGGCCATGAAGAACTTGCTCTTTACATATTAAAGAAGTTCGGAAATGGAAAGATGGACTTCAAATCTATTATTAATCTGATGATTGATAGAGATTACGATGAATTTATCAAATTCTTTTTGGAATTACCATATATCACCAAAAAGAAAGATATCAGATCAATAATTGACAATTTTATTATTGCAAATCATCCCATTTCCAAAGAATATTTGTCATATCAAATATTCAAACAAAACATTGATGTTTTGGCCAAGTACTCGATGAAGAACTTAAATGTATTCAAGTTTTTGTATGATAATGGCTTCGATCTTGAGAATTTCTACTTCGAAAAATATGGAAATAATTTTTACGATCAATTCCATATCAATTCGCAAGAATTGCGTGATGCTAGGCCAGAATTAGCAGATGCATTTAAGATTGTCCTTGAAAAATGCACTGATGAGGCAAAAATTTTAAATCAGTATCTTGTCAAGGTTTTGAAGAGTGGAAACACATATTTATTGGAATCTTTAAAGAATCTGAAGAAGTTCAAGAAAGTTCTCAACGATTTTGATCGAGATGGCTTTTTATTAAAATTTAATTCGACTTTATCAACAGAATTCATTGGAAAGATGTTCGAAATGATGTCTGGAAATCATTATGATCCTCACAAGTCTCTCATCCATATGGTTTGCAGGAGAGCTCTTCGTTTTGACCATATTGACACGATTTATTCATTTTATTCTGAAAAGAATTGTTTGGATTTCAGAAGTAACACTCCATTTTATTTGTTGGTTTCGTGCAGGAAATATGATCTCGCCTTGCAAATCCTTGAGAAGTATTTTGCTGAAATTGACTTGAATGTCAAGAATTCGAAAGGAATGACACCTCTTTTACTTGCAGTAATTAATTACAGAAATGGAAATCGAAGACTCTATGACTTGATTTATTTAATGGTTAAATATGGAGCAGAACCAGAAATTCAGTCAGCACATGGAGTTACTGCAATTAGTGTTATCAAAAACACAAACAGGAAATCTGATTTACATAAACTATTTCCTGGATATTTTGATAATTGAATAAATAGTATTTATAGAGTAACTTTGTAATTAATTAACTTTTTATTTTTGAAAAACTTCTAATAGTCTATTTAACGTTGATCCTAGACTATAAAAAGATGCTTTGAAATAATCTATGTATTTGATTGAGATAGGAGTTCGTATTTTTTCCATATACAATTGGATAAAAGTATAATTGATTGTATATTTGGCTCAATAAATTATGAAATTGAGAATCGTTTTAAAAACGCATTCATTGTTTATAACTCTTTAACTTTCATTATCTCCGAAAATTTAGAGAAATCCATTGAAAAGAATTAATTGGGAATGAAGTTTGAGAATGTGTATTTAAATTGGACAAGATAAGGATTAATTTTTGATTTTTATGTTAAATAGAAAGTATAGATCAAATTGAAAATGGAATAAAAAAATGTTCATTTCATGATTGCATATACTAAGGTAAAGAAACAGAATTTATTTAATAAAAAGCTTTCTAATTCAAAGTTCAAGCAATGAGTCCTATCAATAAATGAATCATTTCATGAGTTTGTTTTGATGAATATGATTTTTTACTAGAAACATAATATTAACATATAACAATTTTTGAGAAAGCAAAATTATGAATAATAATCAAATCATGTTTAATAGCTTTTCCATAACGCTTCGGTCAATCGTCGCTTTCTCGATGGGTAGTTTTCCGGCTTTATCCTTTATATTAGTATCTGCCCCATGTGAAATAAGAAATTTGGCTGTTTCAATTTTATTCTTCGAATAAGCAATATGAAGAGGAGTTGAACCGTTTTTATCAACTGCATTGATATCTGCTCTATTCGATAAAAGTAATTCCGCTAATTCGATTGTTGGGTTTCGTACTGATTTATGCAGAGGAGTTTCGCCATCCTTATCCTTTGCATTTGTATCCGCACCCTTTGAAATTAAAAGTTTAGCAATTTTCATTGAATTTCTGTATGCAGCATAATGAAGAGCTGTTTTTCCTTCCTTACTTGAGGCATTAACATTGGCGCCATGATTTAAAAGATACTTGATGACTTCATGACAATTTTTGTAGATTGCAGTCATTAGAGGAGTTTGTTTGTTTCGAGCGCATGCATTAACATTTGCACCGTGTGAAACAAGTAGTTCAACAATATTTTTATTATTACTTTCTGCAGCATTAAAAAGAGGAGTTTGTCCATTTTTACCTGGGGTGTCAATCTTTGCCCCATGTTTAAGAAGAAACTTAATTGTCCAAACAGCCCCATATCCAGCAGCATCATGGAGTGCTGATTCACCAGATTCACCTTTTGCGTTGATATCAGCACCATATGAAAGAAGCATTTTAAGCATTTCTTTATCTCTATGAAAAAGTGCTTGATGAAATAAAGTTTTGTTGTCTTCATCTCTTGTATCAACATTTGCACCATTCAAAAGAAGTATTTTCACAATATCTTTTTTCTTCTGCTCATATGCGTAATGAAGAAGAATGCTTTCACTTTTTTTCCTAACATCAAATGGAATATTTGGCCATGTGATCAAATAGATACAATATTCAATGCAATCATAATTAACTGCATAATGAAAAATCGAATGAAAAATTGTGTAACTTTTAAAATAATCGATTTCCCCTTTATAATTTTTCAAAATATCGAGTGTGTATGGCATAGCTGCGCACCATGGAAGAATATGGATTATATCCTTCTTTGCTAATAGATATGCAGCTTTTATATTGAGTGAATTATCTATGTCGAGGCTTTCTGTATGGAAAAATTTATCCGGATTTTCATTTAATAAATTTTCAACACCTTCATTGTTATTTGATGCTACAGCATAAAACATGCAGACACTATCTGGTTCGGTATGCTTTAAACATTCTTTAATTATATCATGGTTGTTTCCAATATACGCGAATTCAAGAACTCCGCTGTCAATTTTGAATTGATAATTAGAAATAAGGAAAAAGAAAGTATTAATAGATCCATAATAAGCACAAGCTTCAAGAATGGACATATCTAGGAAATGTTGTGTTGAGATTTCAAAATCGTGTTTTTCAAAATCAATATTTAATGACGTTTCCTTAATTTTATCAATTTGATCATGCATGATCATATAATGAATTGTGTCTTCTTTTGGAAACCTAATATCGTTTGAATCAATTTGTGCAATACTATTCTTTTCTTTAAATGATTCAGGAAAACACAATTGAAGAGAATTGCGTGAATCCGCGATATGATAATTAATAGAATGGTAATTTATTGAATGATCACGACAAATTTTATTGAAAAGAGAAGCGTAAAGAAAGGCAGAACGAAAATTGAATTTGATTGCACTTGTTATAGCAGCAAGAAGTCTATTGAATTTGATTTTGTATTTGTCAAGTAAAATGGTATTGATATTAACAAGAATTTCTTCTATTGAATCGTTAGGATTCATGTGAAATAGCTGTTCGACAGTTTTGATGTAATCACTATACTTATCCAAGTAATCACTACTCATTTTCTTATTTGAAATTTTGTAAAAATTGAAATAAAAGACGAAAAACTTTCGAAATAACTTTTTAAAAAATAATATATCAATCTATTACTTTGGTCAGTAAATTTTTCAGTATGTTAAGGGTGCACACGAGAGGATCATGTAAACTTCAGAATTTAGAACCTTATTTTTAGGCATTATCTTGGCTACCTATTTAGGCTCGAAAAGCAAAAAATATCAAAAAATACAACTTGACTCCATTATGACCCTTTCATGGAGGTAGTTTTTATCCGCTAGTATTTTCCCTTTGAATCTCTTTACAATTCGAAATCAAATTCAAAACTCAGTAGAAGAAAGGAAGAATCGACTTACTACGGTTGTAATACGAATAAATACATATATTTAATTATTTTTATTTACATAATAATTGTTTGAAGCTCATATTCCATCAAATTTTTAAATAAAAACATTAAAATGTTGAAAATGTTCATATATTTTAATAGGGTTTTGGCACTTTATTGAGAAATTACTACATACATAGTCGAACTGAACTTGATATTTTGAAATTTAAATTATTTATCAAAATTAAAATTTAACTTGAAATTTATAATTATTTAGTCATATTTTGCATAATTCTAAGTAGATTTTGTAAAAAATCAAGAAAGAAAAATTTTAACGTGCTTTATTTTTTCTTTTTTATAATAATACATATTATTATATAATTAACATATTCATAATGTTTCACCCTTTCAAAAATATAATCCTCCTCCTCTCAAATAAACGTACATACGGGTGGCCTCTTTTTTCAAAAAATTAAAATTTGAAATTTTGGGCTCAAATATTAGAGATTTTTTTCAACCTTCAATGATATATGTTGTCTATATCAGACCTCCTTTCTTTTTGATACTTAACATTGTTCCTAAATCTTAGCCGTTAAGGCTGTTCTGAAAATATTTTTTTTCGAAAAAATTCGAAAAAAATTCTTAAAATTCAAAAATCCCTTAATTCCTGAGGATTTTGGAAAAAAGTTTTTACATGAACATGTGTATATTATATGAAGTATATTGATAAGGTAAAAATCAAATTTTATTGCATATTCATCGAGAAAATAAACTAACGAATCCCTCAAAATTGAGAGGGTAATCCTCCTCTCAAATAAACGTACATACGGGTGCGCCCTTAATTTATTGCACGTTAAATTTTAATACTATCTTTCCTATATAGAATCTTATTCAAGAACATGAATTCACAAAACATATTTTATGCTTAAATCCTCAAAAGACATTCTTATATTTTCTGAATATATTTTTATTAGAAGTAATTGCTTGATAAATGCATACCATGAACTATACATCGATGGAATGAAATCATTTAGACTTTAAAAAAGAATTTCAAACATGATTATATCACGAATCACAAAATTATTTATATAAGTCAATGAAACAGAATAACATAGATATAAATAATATGAATTTATAAATATTGACTGTTTAGATAGTAAAGTCTATGATGATAAGATATTTGTTCAACTCTAATCGAATAGTTGAATTATTTTGTATCTATAATTATTGATTGCAATGTCCAAAGCTGTTTTTCCGTGATTATCTTTCATATTGGTATCTGCGCAATATGATATAAGAAACGCTGCAAGCTCTTTATTATTTTTTAGCACTGCATAATGTAGTGGTGTTCTTCCTAACTTATCTTGTAAATTAATATCTGCTCCATGTAAAACTAGATATTTAGTAATTTCAATATTTTTATTTTCAACGGAATAATGAAGTACTGTTTTTTCTTCGCAATCCTTTATATCCATATCTGAGCCATGTGTTACTAGAATTTCTATTATTTCCTTAGAGTTCTTTGTTGTTGCTAAATGTAAAGCAGATTTATTTTCTTTATTTTTGGCATTGATATCAGTACCATTTGATATAAGAATGTTGATTAATTCTTTCAAATTAAGTACTACTGCATAATGAAGAGCTGTATTCTCATCAATGTCTTTTGCATCTACATCAACACCATGTAAAATTAGTTGCTCAAGTATATCTTTTCATTATTCAAAATGGCATAATGAATTATGCTTTTTCCATTGTTATCTTTTGCATTTGTATCTGCACCATTAGAAAGAAGTAACATTACTAAGTTTTGGTTCTTTTGTAGTATTGCATAATGTAGTGCTGTTTTTCCTTCATTATCCTTTGCATTGAACATCTGCG